GTAAGAGTTATCAAGGTTTAAGGTAGTGTAAGTAAAACTTACCTCCCATTAATGCCGATGATTCAGAATTCGTCCAAATTTCTATCAGGATGAAAAATGTTGGAACTGCGATAAACAATAATGAAGTGACATTAATGATAAGCAACAAACGTTGACGTCGTATTTCTGCCGAGTTCAAGGTCTAAACTATATAAAAACTCAGCACTAGTCAAATGCTAAACGAAACAAATTTTGTATAGCTAACATGTCTACGTATTTGCAGTAAAATGCGCTTTTTCATTTTCAAAGCTAAAAAATTGCGCTGTCAGTGATAAACCTTTGCACGACACGTTATCCGGAAAACTTGTCCAACCAGAGTAGTGCTGATCACGTAGATTGAAGCTAGAAGAGTGAAGTGAAATATTCCATATCTTTTTCCTGCAGCTTCGTATGAGGTACACAGTGGTGTAGCTAGATGATCTTTATAAAGTTTTGCGCAGACATATGCCAATGCGATCAAAAACTAAAAACAATTGGAAGCAGATTACAAACGACCTTTTATGTATTTTTGTTTATCTGAGATGCTTAAAACTTAAAAAACAAAATGTTAAGAAATACAGCCTCATCGTAAAAAGTTAAATTTCTTCTTCTGGTAGGCTTAGTTCTAGTCTGCAATAAGCTAAAATATTCTAAGACGCTTAACTTAAGATACATTACTTTTACAATTTAAGGGGCAAACAGTACTTTTCTGATAAAATATTACTAAAACAGACATTACAAAGATCCAGAAATAAAACCTTATTTGACAACGATTCTAAATTTCCAATAGTTGACAACGTTTACAGACGTTCAAATGGTCAATTTTGGCACAAAAAAACTAAGCGTTCACAACTCTTTGACATATTATTAAATTGTTTTGTTATTGAAACTATTTTTTACTTCAAATTTATTAGTTCTTCGTTCCAAAGATATTGTGAAAATTCTTTTTTTATACGTTTTTTAAAGAAATTAATGATCTACAGCAGAATTTCACAGACGACTAATAGGTGTTAAAAAAACTTTTTGGTTAACAATTATGTAAAATCACATGCAACAAAATTCGTATTATTTCAGTTTATTTTAATGCAAGTAAACTAAAAAAGATTGAGTTTGGGCACTTTCAAGCAAGTTTCTGTAATCTTAATAAGCACTATAATTAGAGCAATTGAAAAGTTTTAGGTGATGATTGAATCAGACGTTTAATCTCATTTTACGCTTTCCAGAGTTTTGATTTTTAAAAAACAACAGTAACTAATTATGAATTTTGAAGCATTCTTTTAAAAACACAAGATAAATGCTGACAGAAAAATTGAGATCAAAAGCTTATTAATAAGAGAAAAAGAAAAGTTGAGCAAAACAGCAGTTGGAAAACCTTTTTTTTTCTACAGAGTAGTAGTTTCTAAACCAAAAACATTAGTATTTTTAGAGTTGTTTGGGTCGTTTATAAGTTTCGAGGCACAGTTAATGACTTAGAATAAATATCGTCAATTTTAAGCTCTCGTTACAATACATCGAACTAGCTAGCTATGGTGCAGTCAATATGCAGTCCTTAATATGCAGTCATTCAACTATAAAATTGTTGTCACGTTTTTGGACAAATTCTAACTTTTTTAATACTTATCAAAAATCTTTTTAAAGCAAAGATTGCGAAAACAGGTTGGCATTAAACTGCAAGGGTTCTTACCGCACCAATTATCCATGAAGTAAATCCCATAATAACCTTGTTTCGGTAACGCCAATGTGCTCGATATAGAGTGGGATAGCATGATGCGATGATAAGTTCAGATGCCAGTAATAAATTGGTCACAACCGGTACTTGCCCTAATATAAACCCGAACATTTTCGCAGCTATCAATCATTTTGGTTTCCAGTCATTTTTTATTTGATCTTTT